GATGTCAAAACAATTAAAATGTAGGCTCCTATAAGCCTATGGGTGAGGTGGGGAACTGTGACCTACATAAACTGTGAACTCCCAGCAAAAGTAAAGAGAAAATATGGACATTCAAAATCAAAAATCCAGCACCCCAGGTGGGAATAGGGCTCAGGGGTAGACAGCTTGCCCAGCATGTGTGAGGCCCTGGGTTCCATTCACAGCAACATATACACACACACACACACACACACACACAAACACACTCCAGCATCCCTTCATTTTGTGACACTTGGTCACAATCATTGGTCACAAACTACCTGCTAAAATGAAGGTAGGTTTCTGTCTTCACTATCAGACAACATTCTGAAAGCCTTGGGCTTAGGTTTGCCTGCTCTCCCAGAATCCTCTCTTATATAAAAGGTTTTCTGTTGGGGTAGAGGAGTCCTTGGGGGTAGATAAGAATAGCCCTTAATTCAAATAACTACATAAAGGATTTTGAGCCAAACAGAAATTTTGATGCAACTTTCCAGATGGAACAAAATTCCTTCCAACAGGAGACCATTCCTTCAGTCTTTGAATAAACAATTCTAATAACAAGCAAAGAGCTTATTCACTCAAACAATAGCCTATTGCTTTTTTAGCAAATATGTAATCATTCAGGAATTTTATTCCAGGCCAGCATTAGAAAGTGCCATGAGTGAGTACATATGGCCATAGAATTGTTCATTTTCTGGACCTTTATTCTGCTTAATCTTAGAAAGCCATATATAAACACATTTACCCAGCCTTAGAGCTCAGCTGCAACTAGCATTTCATACCCATGGAGAATACTCACCTCTGTGGCCCATGAGAAGAGGAACACATACGTATAGGACAATAGGCTTCCAGATATGACAATTGGAAAGAGATCGTACGTGTTGAGGTTGCTCTAGCCAGTATGCTTTTAACAAATATATTTTACCAACTAGTAGTGAAATGGATAGTATCTTTATAAAATAATCCTTGTGGAAAATTGAGTAAAAGCATTCCCAAGTTCAGGATCTAACTTCCATCCCCTATTCTCAACCTCTTCTGTAATTGCCCTAAGTCAGGATTTCATTATATCTGATTAGACCACCAACATGCTATTCTTGTCCCTAGTTTTCTGCACTTACTAAGATGTTCCCAGGAGTAGATTTCAATTTATATATCCTATATATTTTGGGGGTTTTGAAATGTGTATTCAAAATTTCAGCCATCATCATCTGCATTTTTTTGCTCCACTCCCCGTGGAATGTCAATTAAATGTGTCTCTGTTATCCTCCCTTTTTAATTCTTGCATGCAATTTGTTTCTCCAGGCAGAACTCTGGATAATTTATTGTAATACATCTTTTAATTCAATAATTTTCTTTTTAGTTGTGTTTAGCCTTCATTAAACCCAACCGTTAAATGTTCAAGTTCCTTTGTTAAATTGTTTAGTTTTAGACCTTCTCAATTCTTTTTTAATTTTGCTACATAGCTTTTTATTATTTTCTGTTCCATGCAGATATTTTCTAAGTTATGTTTTTATGTTTTGGAACATAGTAAATCATAGTTTTGTAGTCTATGCCACACAATCATGACATCTGAAGTCATTGTAGGTTTGTTTTGTTGTCTTCTTTTTTTATATTTTTTGTAGTCATACACAATAACTTTTATTTATTTATTTATTTATTTATTTTTATGTGGTGCTGCGGATCGAACCTTGCACATGCGAGGCAAGCACCCTACTGCTGAGCCACAACCCCAGCCCCTGTTGTCTTCTTTTCTTTTCTTTTTTTTAAATTTATTTATTATTTTAGTTGTCAGTGGACACAAATCCTTTATTTTATTTATTTATATGTGGTGCTGAGGATCGAACCCAGGGCCTCAGACATGCCAGGTGAGTGCTCTACCACTGAGCCACAACCCCAGCCCCTATTGTCTTCTTTTCTAATGGCTGTCATACAAAATATTTTTTCTCTTATGTGTGGAGTTATCTTTGCCCATATGCTGTCATATTATTGAAAAATCATTTTACAAATTATTCTAGGCCCAAGATGATATAGCCTTCCTACAGAGAATTTTTTCACTTGTTGGGATATTTTCCGATGTTTGAGAATACAGTTTGTCCAAGGACACTTTAATCCATGACCAGGACTTTGGGTTCCTCAGAATATACAACAAGGCCACACAAGAGCTGGTTACTTCTAGGACACTCAAACAGGTAGTGGTTAGGACCCCAGCCGGAAATGGCAGGGAAACCTCAAGACTTTAGTTTTGAGTTTTGTCCCAATTGCCTATGATTCCACAAAAAAAAAAAGCTAAATTTCACAACTCTTTCTTCCAGATTCAATAAATGCCTCTGATTTTGACATTCCCTTGAACAAATCCTTTAATATCTTGCTTCTAAAATAAAAGTCTTGCCTTGTTTTTTTGGTGAGATAAATATTTATTGTATACTGAGTGTGTGGTGCTCTCCAGGCCACGTACTGCCTAATCCCTCATGTCTTGCTTCTCTCACTTCTCTTACTGCCAAACTACAGCCAAACTAGAACCTTCACTGTTGTGTGACAGAGCTGGGTCTGAACACAGATGGACTAACTTCCAGGTCAGTGCTCTTTCCCCTACACCATGATCCCACATTCAATCCAGGTATTTATGGATAGACTTGTAAATGAACTAGACAAAAGCTCAACAAGTACAAATGATAGTAGCATTTTCATATTCTTGTTGCATTTGGGGCTATGTTTGTCTGGTGAGTCAGAAATTTCAAGAAAGCATTATCTCTAGGGAGAGAGAAATGGGGGAGGGTCCTGTGGAATTTCAGTTTCATCATCATCAACAACTTTTTGGCAATCTTCATAGTCACAAGGGCACATAGGAACAAAACTTCGGGCTTCAAGCCTATTTTTCCATAACAAATTAGGAACCAGCCAGACTAACTGCCTGCAGAATTGGTTTCTTGGTGCTGGGAACATCCCACATCCAAACAAATCTACTCCCACCTGCTGGTAGTTGCCTGAATTTCCAGTAGAAACCGACTTCATTGAAAACATGCTGTTGGGGAAGCAAGATTCCAGAAACAATGTTTCTAGTTTGGGCCTCTGCCACTATGTGAATTTGAGCCAATCCCTTTTCTTTTTCTGGATATCAGTTTCCCCATATTACAATGCAGGTGGTTGAACAAAGTAACCTGGTATGGCCCTACATTTTTTTAAAGCAAAGATTGTCTCTACAATGACATCTGGATGACCAGAGCCATGGGTAATGGGGGCAGGACTAATAGTAATAGGGGTGGGCTTGATTGATTTCCTCTTATATGCAATCATCAGTGACATATGGATCCTGCCATCCTTTTTATTCTTCTGTGTCAATGCAGGGGAAAAAAAAAGCATTTGATGAAATGGTAGGGGAAGAAGGGAGAACGGAAAGGAAGGTGTGAGAATGTTCTGCTCTTAAGAAGGGAGAGAACTATGAGACACTTTTTTCTAGGTTTCATTCTAAAAGGTTTTTTAGAGGGGAAAGTAAAGAGTTAAACCCTTGGTGAACCTGGCAAATGAGGCTTTGCTGGGCACAATTTCAACTCATGTCATGAAGACTGAGGAATAGTAGAAGGGAAGAACTGTTGCTGTGTAAATGTTCCTAGGTAACCAAGAATGAACTTGAAATCCATTTGATTGCAACCCTTCTCATTGGTGTGATGTGGGGGATGCAGTGCAGGTGGACATGACTGATCTCTGTTGATTACCTATCTGGCCTATGGGATCTTTTGAGTCTTCTTTTTGAACTTGTTTTGTCATGGACCCAAGATGGGAGGGACAGAGGGTATTGAGTAAAGGCATTCTGTGTTCTCTGAGATCTTTCTGTTCCACAGGGCAGTTTTTCAGGTGGTAGAAATAAGAATCCTCCAGTAAAAATGTCATGCTTTTCCATATGACAGGGCCAGAATGCAGGAAAGTGGGAGTGGTCTGGTCTCCATCCTAAACATTGATCTTGTGCCTTCTTTTCCCCTTCCTTGCATCCCCTGGTTATGGCAGACTCATGTCTCAGGGAGACCCCAGTTGATGAACTCTTCCAGTTCCCTGAGAACCTAAACTTAACATAAGGAGCACTCTGGGAAATTTGAGTCCTCAAGCAACCCCTGAGGTTCTGGGGCAAATTTCTATCCTGAAGAAGGAACATGCCTGCTATAACCAGAGTCCTGTCATAAGACCCCCTTGGTGATCCGGTTCAATGCACCCAGAGGAGAGGCATCCAGGGTTACTGGAGACTCATTGGTCCAGGAATAACCAGCAATCTGGAACCCTCCTGATCCCCAAAGATGTACAGATCTTTCACAATGCAGATACAGCCATGGCAGACAAATTGTCACTCTCCCTTCACCACAAAATACAAAGTCTTGGGCACAAGACCTTCCCAGAGAAACATACGTTTTGCCCTTTGTCGGACCAGACGCCCAGGCGTGGACCCAGGCCCATCACTCCAGCAGCAGGCCCCTCCTCCTGATCCCCTAGCCGGGCCCCGCCCCTGTCTGTGTCTGGAGCTGGCCCGGGGACGACTGCAGAGGCCTGAAGGGGCGGGGGGCCTGGCCGCGCGCAGGCTGCGGGCGGAGGCAGGAGCGCGCGCCTTTTTGTGCGGCTCCTGGCACCTGCCTGATTGGCTCGGCCGGTGCTGCCGTCGAGTGGGCGGAGCTAGCCGCGCTGCGCTGGGTGCCCAGTTGCAGCCTGGAGCGGCCGCAGACGGAGCGCACCTCGCAGCGGTCAGGCGCGCCCTGGGAGCGCTGAGTCTGGGAGAGCTGCTAGGTGGCTGCTTCTCCTGGGCTCCAGGCTCCGGGCTCCAGACCGACTCCCGTGCTCCCTGCTCGCTGGGCCCTAGAGCTCTCTCCTTAGAGAGGATTCTGCGGAGGATCTAGCGATCCCGCCCCGCTGCGCCCCATACTGACCCGCTCCCTGCCCCAGGCCCATCCCTTTCTCCAGCTGTCCGCAGCAGTCCCCCCCCCCCGCCCTCCGGTCCCCAGAGCGCTGCAGCCATGGGCATCCGAGGCATGCTGCGAGCCGCCGCGCTCCTGCTGCTCATCAGAACCTGGCTCGCAGAGAGCTATGACCCCAGTCCCACCCCAAAATTCCATTTCGAGTTCTCCTCCACCATGCCCGAAGTCGTCCTGGACCTCTTCAACTGGTGAGTGACGCCAGCCTGGGCACCGCGGGGACAGGAGAGGGCAGACGGCCTCGGCCTCGGGCCTCTTGGACGGAGCGGGCTACGGGGGTGGGACTGGGGACCGGTGCTGGCCGAGGCCTAGTATGCGCACCTTCCCTGCCCACCCCTGGTAGGAATGGGGTGGGGGTAGGGACAGCCAGTTGAGATGGAGCCCACCTGTTACCGTGGAGCCTGACTGCGCCTGGGTATGCCAAATGGCAGCCTGAGGCATGGGGTGGGGGTGGGGGGGTGAGGGGCATCCTCATCCCGGGGTCTTACGAACCATCCCCAAGGACTAAAGGCCCAGGCAGCTTTATTCAGTCACGTTCTTTGGCACCTGTGGAATTAGGGGTGTATGGGGTTATGGGAAATTTACAAAACAGACAGGAGAGACACCTGTTTGAGTCCGGCGACGAGCGCGGGTGTGTGCGCGTGCATGTGTGTGTTGAGGGGTGAGGGGCTCTTTCCAATGCAGCAGATAAAAATTATTAATTCGCCCTCATCTTAGCCCAGACAGTGCCATTGATGAGTGTTTTGTAATGGTATAATCCTGTGGCCTATGAAAATATTTGAAGATTGAGGTTTTTCTGTGTGTTTGATTTGAAGTTTGTTTGGGTCTGTGGGTATCTGAAGAGATGTTAAACAGTCAGCCCTTACATGAAGATCACACAGAAATGTGCATTTGTGGTGGACACAGATCCTGAGTGTTGGCACATGGGGAATGTGTGGTCAGAAACAGGCGGGAATGCATTGCTTTAATTTGAGAATAATTTATGTGTACATTTTGGAATGTTGCAAAATGGAATTTTGTACTCGAGGAAGATCAGGAATGATTTCTAAATGGAAAACCAGAAATGAACATATTTTCAGATGTCAGGGGTGGGGGTGTTCTGGGCAAGGTTCCAGCAGACAGCCCTGCAATGCCCTCAACTCAACATACCAGACTGCGCCAGTGAACACACATGCACACACACGCACACACACAGATTTGCAGGGGCAATGCGTCAAAGAGTCACAGTGATGCCCAAGGCCTGTTCTCATTCGCAAGCCTTTTTGGGGACAAGAGCCCTGCTGAAGGTCTAGGTGAATGGGCGGGCATATCAGAGACTCTGCAAAACCAAGCGGGGTCCACTTACGTGTGCTCACCCAAAACACCTCCAAGCTGGAAGCACATGCTTAGTGAGAGATACCTATTTCCAGAATAGATATTTTCGAGGACGATTCTGAACCTCAAGAATCTGCAGTTGTTTGGTTCAATAAGGGTCATAAATCTCTGCTATATGAACAAGGTTCTCTCCCTGCATCATATGCCATATGCCAAGTCTTAAAAACAGGTGTACAAAAACAGGGTTGACATAAACATGACCAAAATAATGTCCAGTATACATAGGAGAAACATGACTTTGAGCTAGAGAACACTGGCTGAGCTCGGTGGGGGAGGGGGGGGCTAAGAGTGGGAGATGATGTTTCCTGGGGCAATCAGGTACCCCTGGAAGGAGGACCCCCACCAATCCGGAAAGCAGCATCCAGGCCAATCTCAAGGTGGGGATCCTTAGGGTGTTGAAGTAATGCAGTTTTCTGAGGGCCCCCACTTGCCCACTCTCCTCTGGCATCCCCTCCTCCCCCACACTCTAGTCTTGCCTAGTAACAGGGATCCAGTCCTCCCGCCCCACCCTCAAGATTAAAGCTGAAAGGGGGGAGGGGAAGGGGGAAAGAGGAGTCTGCGTCACTGCTGTGCTTCTGGCTGACTCACTGCAGGGAGGGAGGGGAGGGAGAGAGAGCATACACATATGACTGGACATGTCTGCGTATGTAGAAGAGCAGGGAAGGCCCTGGCAAGGCTACCACAAGTCAACCAGCATTTACTAATGACTTCTCTGTTTCAGCAAAAATTGTGCAAATGAAGCTATGGTTCATAAGATTTTGGACAGGGTGCTGTCGAATTATGATGTCCGATTGAGACCAAATTTTGGAGGTAAGCACTTCTAAACCCTAGAGGCTTTTGTGTTACATGGAATAGGACTGAGACATGGCCACCCAGCCCTACCCTGTACACTGACCCCAATCTCTACACCTCTGCCCCCCAATCCCAGCTTCCTGAACCTGGAGACACCTGAAAGGGAGCACTCCCAGGCCCCCAACCCCAGGCCTTCTGCTCTTGTCCTGGAATTTATCCCCATCCCTGCCTTCATGTGCAGGCCTTCTGCCCTCTCCCTATTCCTTTACAATGGTGTGGCTAGAGAGAGACTACAGAAATGGGCATGTAGGACACAGTGCCCTGTGCTGCTCCAGCTACAGTTTTCTGCTTTATGGCCGGGGGCGGGGGGGGGGGGGGGGGGG